ATCTTGGAGTTAAACCCGGAACTCGGGGTCAAGACTAGCCCCTCTGACTCTGAGCTGAACTAGTCTAAGGTGACACCAAGTTAGTTTGTTCACACTTGTTTTTCAACAGTGGGTTAAATTTAACATGGTTTACTCCATTTTTGCTTTTGTATGAAATTCATAACATTTATTTTTTATAACCCTTTGTCATTGAATAAATTAAATTACATATGATGAAACAAGTAGATATTTGATTCTGGTTTATTTTAAAACAATGTGATAACTGTATCAACACTTGATTTGTAATACTGTAAAATACTTTATTTTAGCTAGAATTAATTTTCGCTGAAAAGACTTTTTCGGTGTTTTGTATGGAATTTATTTTCACTGATTTTTGACAAGTTGAATGTAAAATATAGGAAAAAAAGTATATTCGCAGGATTTTATTTTAACTGAATCATTCCTTACTGAAAGTTATTCAAAAGCAAAAATGAAGTATTTTTCAGTAATGTACAGTTTGTTCCTGATTGTGTTATATTGGCCTCATTGTAATCATTGTCCTAAAATACATGTAAATGATAGTATTGTTTGAAATATAATTGTGTGTAATTTTGTGTGCTAGGTGTGGTTTTGCTTGATTGACTATGTGAATAAATTAAATCTCTGAAAAATATTTGTAAGCAAATAGCGCCCTCATGTGGTTAGAATTTGAGATTGCTGGTAACCCTAATTATAATATGTTATTTAATAATATGGTGCCATGAATCAGTATTTCTTGATCGATCTACTTAAAATAATTTATGTTCGAAATATTACCTGATAATTTAGAGATCAGACTGAAAAGTTTGTAAAAAATATACAATAGCCTGCCACCATTGTTTGTAACAAATTGAATTTTTAATTATAAAAAACAATTAGATTTACTCTATCTTGCCAACACAGCTGATGGGCTTCCCTGTTTAGACAATTCAATTATAACGAGTAATTAGTAGTCTTAATTAGTAGGTGCTTAGGTGGTCAAAGCCATTTTATTGTTAATTTTATACACTAAGTTAAGGAGTCTTCATTGTGTGTTTGTATTTAATATTTTCCAATTTGACAAGTTCAATTTGATAGGGTCATTTTTGATGACTCAGAAATTATAATATTTAGAGTGAGAGCGATAAATTGTGGTTTTGTTGAAATGTGAATCATAAGTACAAAATTTATTGAGTACCGTATTTGTTCAGTCACCATGTGCAAAATTTCAATTTATAAATTAAGTAATGTCTCTGTTAAAAAAAAAAATCTTCTTGGTGGGTGAATGCTGTGAAGTCCCTTATAGACAGTAATAATATCCAGCAAGTCAATCCAAGCATATCAATTGCAAGATTCATCAGCAGAATCCCTACCAGGCAGCAAAATAAAAAAAGAATTCCACTGCTACTTAATATGTTAAAATGAGTAAATTTATCTAATACCATATCTCAATTCAAAGCTGTAAAATATTGCCTAAATTGCTTATTAATATATGCATGATTAGTCGTTTATGACGGGTGCGAGTGTATTAAGCTGTGTCAATACAAAGGGAAAGATGTATAGGCTGGTGGTAATGCACTATCCCCTGCTGATGGCCTCCGACATATTATTATGATAATACCTTGTACTCCACCTATATGTGCCACTGTCACTTCAGTTATACTGTCGAGGTACTGTGAAGTGGCAGGTTGTCAAGTCACCCAGCCTTAATTTAAATATTGTTGTGGGGGACACTGTGTCTGCTGTTTGCCTTACTACAGTGTGTGTTGAGTATTGCAAGGACCTATGCACATTGTATGTGAGATGAATACTGAAACATGATGAATAATACTTGCTGACGGAACCACCTTATTATCAATAGTCTATTCAGTGCTATTGTGCAGTGTACCATGCTCGGCAGTGAATTCTAGTTTTTAGTCATCAGTCTTCCCTTGTTTTGGATAAAACCCCCAAACCACCGCCACCCTGTGGAAACCAAATATCACCGGTCTCTGTTCGGCCTGCCATCCCTCGAAGATGGCTGATGCTATGGAGGAAAAAGAACTGACAACGAAGGAAGATCATCATGAGTCTAATCCAGAAGCTGTTTTCCAGTCTATGGAAGGAGATAAGGACACTGGACCTGTCCGGAGGGTGACCAATTCAATGTTTGCGACTGTGACTGAAAAAATGGGTTCCCTCCCCTTAGGGGGATTCCGTAGGCAGGATGCTGAGCCTGTTTTTAAGGAGATAGATCGTACACTGAAACTACCCGATAAAAGGGCTGTTTATCGAGCATCCCCAGAACACTTGGAATCTTACAATATTCCTGATGCCAGTCGTAACGGAAATTCTAACTGCAAAACAAATCAGGCTGCACCAACAAGTCCTGTTGACCCAACAGAAGCCGACAGTTTGATAGAGGCGGACACTGCTGTACCAGTCAACGAAAGATTTCTGGTAATGTTAACACGTGATTAATCTCACCACCCATCCATAACCCTCCCATGACCTCTTTACCTGAACTCATCTATCCATCATATACTGGCAAGTAAATTGTGAAAACGTACTTGGTAGCCAAACCTCCTCTCCCCACCCTGCCCACGTGTATTATTTCTAGACCATGCTTTCCTCTCTGCTTGCTGATTTCAGTAAACATGGCTGCCTCCTACACTTGTTCATAGGCTGAATATTAATAAGGTAGATACACTGCAATCCATTATGACTTACCAAGACACATTATGTATTTAAATAATCTGTCTATAACTACATACATATTGTAATGCACCTCATGAAATTGACATAAACATCCTGTCTGCTTTGCAACCACATATTGTTTCATTTTATTTTGCAATCAATTTTATTTTTAAACATATAGATAAATTGTCTGCTCCCAGGGTGTTGTCAATTAAAAACCAATAGCTGTGTCTACCACTTTAGTCCAACTACAAATATAAACAACGTATCCCATTCATAATTTTTTTTTTTTACTTTGAGTAATTTCAAAACTACAAAGATTCTGTTATGTGTCTTCTCTTTGTCTTAGAAATCTGTCTGTTACCAGTAATGTCACAAATTGAACTCATTGTGCTTTCGTCTATTGTCATGTAAATGAGAAGCTTTCCCCTGTAGTTAATTGATGTCATAAATCCACTCTATTCTAATAAAGCATTTAACTGCTTTTCAACTTCTGATATATTATAATGGTGATGTCATAATTGTTCTTTCTCATCTATTTATACATTCAGTTTACCTACATAAAGACGAGCTTCTATATTAATTTTAAGGTTTTGTTTTGTACATGTTCAAATATTTTTAAAATGCCACAACAAAACCCTCTCTGTATGACAGAGTTTAAAAATACATATTAATCTTGTTCGCCATGAACTCCCACTGATACGTACACGTGTTTGAAATGAATAAAACTCATCCAAGCGTATGATGGAATTGGTCTATCACAAGTTGTGTTTTTACCTATTGTTGGTGCCATGTGCAGGATTATTGCTTTGTGTCAACACTAACCTATGTGAAATGCACGCTTTAATGTAAAACCAGATTGGTATTTAGATTTATATTTTTAAATTTAATTTGTACAATAACTTGCACACCATTGTTTAAAATAATATTCCACATACAATTGGGGAGAATTGCGATAAATTGAATTTTTGTGATGAAATTGATTTCATTAATAGTGACTTTATTAATTTTTATTTTAATGATGTAGTATTGCAAAGTTAAACCTGGATGGTTACATTTGTATGCCTGTTTGGGTGAAACCATTATATATGTGTGGTGCGATGCAGAAGGGGAAGGGGATGAGGCTTCATTGTAATCATCTAAAATTTAGTTCTTTGAGGAAATGTAATATTGGTGCTTCAGTATTACCCAGTGTTTTCCCCCTGTGGTTATAGTTTGTTGAACCGCAATAAGTCACTTGGCAGTGTACAATGTTGGTGTATCTATATGTGGGTCGAATTACTGTACTACGGTATATTGTAATAACCACACACTAAATACCAATGCAAGAATTTGTAATGATCCTCTTTCAGTTTTTGGTATGCCAGCATTCATGTCAATTACTGATAATATAAATTTGTATATTTTAGAAATTACCAAGAAAATGTTTTACTTTAACTTGCATCATGTCAGGTGATTCTGAAAAAAAATTCTATTTTTCAATATTTATGATATATATATATTAAATTTGATTATATTTTCATATTCAAAATAACAACTTTAAATTGATTAAGTTGAATTTTGAACTTAAACTTTAAAAAATTCTCAATAGATATATGATAAAATATAGATGTTTAAAATAGTAAATCAGCTGCTAGTGGGTGTATTTTATAGAAACATGGAAGTGGATACAATTGACCTCATTGTGTGATTTGATCTATTTGAATTCAATCTATTTATGTAAATCCTGTAACAATCTTTTTGATGAATGGGAAATCCTAATTACATCTCATTTACATATATTGTGTTTTGCATTCTCTCTCTCGTATTGTTTCTCGCATGCATATACAACAAATCATTTAATTTTAGCTGCAAGCAGTTTGCACGATTTGCTGATTCATAGGCTTAATTACAAATTTTGTGAAAGTTGCTGTGATTCACTATAAATTGTTGTGGTTGTAACTGGTAGAGATTTGTCTCTTCTGAAATTAATGCATTTTACAATATACTATTATAAAGTACACGGAAGCGTACTGGGTAAAGAAACTGATACAGTCTATCACATTAGGTTTTGTTTTCATTACATGTAAACCTGACACGTCACGTGTCTTGTAATACTAGCATCTAGGCAAGTTACTCCACACATAATAAATCATCAACTTTGTACTCAATTATTTTTTTTTAACCTGACCCATCTTTTATTTTTCTCAGTAAATTAGATTTTAGTACCAGTTAGGACAAAATTTATTATGTTTTAATGGTGTCTGTTATTGGGGTAATTAATGGCAATGGACATGCAGCTGAGCACTCCAGTTTCGTAATCAATTTAATTTTTTTGAGGTAGAAGTAATCATAGACATTTAATGAATATTCAAACTTGATTAACATAAATAAAATAATTGGGAAGCAAATTGTACTTTATAATTATTATGAATTGTAATATTCTAAATTTTCTGTTTTGTAAGCACTACAATAAATAGTGTGCAGGTCTGCTAGTGTTCTTTTCTTTTCTGTATTCTATGAAATTGTCATAACCAGTGACAGACATTGCATGATATTAATGAATGCAAACGTCTGCGGTATTATGAACGTATACTAGCCAATAGAAGATGTGAGCGTCTGCTAGGATTCTTGTACGTGATCACTATTACAATGCTGTCGTGCACACATGTCTGGCATAGTGAATGCATCTATTTTAGGGTGTGTCACTTTCTCTTGTTCTGGATCTACCTTTGTACCGTGGAGATTTCCACATAATGGCGTCTTATATTGCATAATACGTGGTTTGATGGTCGGACAATGAATGTGTACTCAAGAGGAATTATAGTTTACTGGCTTTACTGGGTTTGATTATCAGATTTATGTTAATGTTGTGACTTGGGAACATAGCTCATTATGTTTGTGAATTGAATTCATACGTCAGTTGTTACGTTCTGGATGTCAGAAAGTGCCACATTTTGATTGGCGTACACATGCACTAAAAAACCCAAGTGAAATTTAAAAAATGTTATGTTCTTGTGGTTAGCAGAATTAAAGTTTATGATATCTAATGTCTATAATACTGGATATGACAATGTCTTTGTATATTATTTATGTTTGGGACAAAATGCTTCATGAATGGAAGAAATACAAAAAAATCAAATATATGAAATACAGGCCTTACAAATTAATTATTATAAAATTACACACAGTAAAAAGGTGCATTTAAGATGTAAATTGCCTGTCCAAACTTATTATGAATTATTGAATTTGGCCTTAGGCAACTATTAATTTTGTTTTTTATTAGTCTTTGAAATAAACTGATTCTCTTGGTCTTGTTAGAATGTGGCCACAAAAATTAGAGAATAGTACCCCTTGTCTAATATTCATTATCAAAGGTAGAAATACACTGCCCATCTAAAACCTTGCCCATAGGCAATGTTTGGATAAAACATGACTAATTCGTCCGTAAAATAGCTGACCAGTTTTATACTACTGTGATTATTTGCTACTAAAGCAATGCATTTGTATAATGTGTTCATTTAAAACTTGTTCTGTTCTATTATTTGCCAACATAATTTGAACCAATGCATAATATTTCATTAAAATCACTGAGTATTTTTTTTCACTATGAGGAAAAATGTAAAATTTGATCTTTTTGTGATGCCTATCTTAGAACCAATCATGCCTGATGACTATTAAAATTAGAATAGTGTCAAAAATATGCTTGATATTTTGTAACCTCATTTCATGATTATTGTATTTAGACTATAATGGAATGTTTATGATCAACAAAAAATGCACCAAGAGATTGCCCTGAATAGGGTATCAGAAAAATGCAGTAATCACATGTAAAATAAGCACAAGCCATTTTATATCTGGCATAATTTTAACAGATCCTTAATTTTGCTAAAAGGCCAACTGTTCTCATTATGATAATTTACAATTTCATACAAATGTGAGCTTATCTTAAATGGTTCAGTGTGAATTCTTTAAAATCACACCAAAATAAAATGATTTGTTTCACATGTGCCTAATATGGTGATGCACACCTCCTAATCAACTATGGGAGTCTGTGAGTTCACCTTAATTTTAAACACTCTCATTGTAACAATTAACTTTATTGAATTAAACTAGTAAATATTCTAAGTTAACTATAGCCCTTGATTCCATGGCTTCTTTTGGGTTGATCTGAGAAAAACAATACTGAAATATTTTTCACTCTCAAAATCTTATTGTGTCTTAGTTCAGACTCCAGAGGACTACCTGAAATTCAGTTTGTTTTTTAAGAATACTAAGTTTTGTTAATTTTCTAAATCCATCAACATTTTTAATTTTGATCTTGTAAACAAGTATTTTGAATGATTGCTTCAATATGTTTTCTTACAAAAATTAAGTTCATCGATAAGGTCAAGACACTTTGACCATTATTTATTCAATATTTTTTATACAGGGTGGCCCAACTCAGCTATAAATAGCTGCTTTCCAATGAGACCTTGTAACATACAACACACATACAACAAAAATTATACAAAATAGTATATCCAATAAAATAAAAAAAAACACTAGATATAGCTGAAAATTACCAAAATATACTTAAGGAGACAATATATTTTTTTTTCGAGTTGTATTTAATGTCATGCAATTACAAAGAGTCTCTGGTAGGGCGTTTTGCAGTTTGGTACCTTGATATTTAAAAGAGGTATGTGACATTGGAATGCCCAGGCAAGTCAGCAGCCGTAGCCTGCCTAGTATTATAGATTAATCTGAACAGAAATTTGTTGATGTAAATAACAAGGAAATTTAAAATTCATTTGCTGGTTCAACTGTTTCTGGAATATTTTGCCCAGCTTAACCCATGTCATGCAGTTGTACGCATCAAAATCATCATAACATACTCCAAACTGAAGCTATATGATTCAAAGCTAAATTAATCATAGTATTTCCTGTTCAAACCAGGTAATTTAATTTCTCCAACATCATATGAGCTAAATTTAAACCAAATATTTCTCCTATAGTTATTTATAACAATTTATGTATACAAGTATTAAATAAAGGTCATAAAAGCGTAATTATATTTAAATTGTATTTTCTTTGTTGTGATTTTGTGATTAATTAAGAAATGTTCCCATACATGTCGATAAACAATGGATAATATTCTCTGCTTTAAATATGTACCAACCTTATTCATTTTTGAGTTGGAAAGATACTAAATCATCTATTACTAACCGTAACCAAGCAACTTCAGATTTCACTTCCCTAGCAACAGTTATATCGATGTTGTGGGAACCACACCTGCCTTGATGTAAAATGGTTTATAAGGTTTCTATCATTCTGCATTACTAACAATCTCCTGTGAGAAAACATACTAATAAAAACAGACATTGGTTGCTGGTTAATTTCACATATTTTTTCCCAACTTTATATATAGATCTGTTAAATATAATATTTGGAAATTCAGAATTTAGTTATACATTGTAGTGATTTTAGATTCATATTTATTATTGTTGTTTATTAAATTCTTCATTTTTTATCCTAATGCAATTAAGCATGTACTTAAATCTAATCTTATCGTTCAGACATGAATATTTGGTTAAAAAAATAATGTTAACAGTTCACACACTGTAGTTTAGTAGTAATATTGTTCAGCATCGTAGATAAAGAATTTGAAATCTTCCGGTTTGTTTATCAAAATAATTATAACTTGGAAATGTATATTCAGTTAATTAATTAAGCGTATGCGATAACAATGGGAATGTTACTAATCTTGCTTTTTCTCATCAGTAGTAACTTTACACTAGAAATTACTAACACCTTAGGTAGTTCAATAAACCACTTAACTCACTAAAATTCCATGTATATTGCACGTGTATTGACTGATGGACTTTTGCAAAAAAAAAACAGGTATTATAGCTTTGTGGTTGATATATATCATTATATAACAACACATACTGAGCGTGAAAGCCCCTTGTTGGACCGTGAATTGCAGTGAGTCCAACCAATCTATATCAACTACAACGTCAAGGTGTTAAGTGTTAAAAGTCAAAATGGAACACGAGAAAGAGAAAATGTCTCTGAAGAAGGTCCCCCACCTCAAGGTATGGTGACTAATATTGTACAAAAATATTCCATTTCTAGGCACAGGTTAAATAGTTAAGTTTTGGGTTATGGTGCTTGAAGCAGTCGTTTCTGTCGTGTGTAACTTCACCATGCTTTAGCGGAAGTCATATTAGTTGGTTTATACTTTAATGGTTAATTAAAGTTGATATTTTCTTTACTTTGCTTTGCCTCAGTAAATGTTGAGATGCTCTACAATAGAACGCTTTATAAACATCCTGTATAAGCTTTTTCTTGGAATCGCTGCTCTACGGTTATAGGCGCATTTATTTGGTGTGGTTGATTTATTCTCATACCTGCTGTCTGTACCCATATGTTTTCGTATCTTCACTTTCATATATTATTAAATCATTCACATTATCATATGTCTTTTATTTGCCACATATTTCAAAAAGCTTTGTATTTCACATCTGTCTTCGCTTATTCTTCCTTGTACAAAATGTACGTACCTACATGTATTTCCCGACCTCCCATAACTAATTACTCATAACTTAACATAATGTTCCATTTCAGATGCGTATACAATGTTGCCATTTACTTGAATGTATTCAAATACAATGTATTTCATTCCTAATATGTGTAACACATGTAATCATAATCCCAAAATTGCATTTGTCACTGAATCATTAAAATATGTCAAAGTTTAATCTTACACACACTGCTGTCATTCACATAATAAATGTGCTACTAATACACTATTTACCTGTGAAAATAGCCATAAAAACTTTCAATTTTCTAAATCAATTTGGTGTAGTGTTGAGACAGGTTTCATTTTTCAACTTTATTTTTATAAATAAATTTGTATTTGGACTAAAACACTGAGAACACGTCCTTTACATTTGCGCTATGGCCGCCCAACTGAAATGCTGAAAACATGAGTAATACTTTAATAACTGTAATACTTAAATGATCAAGTACATTTGCATGATGGCAGCCCAAATGATATGCTGCTAACACTGTGCATGTATATACATACTATGTTGGGTGTTTTAATATCTGTCCTGTGTGACATCAACTCAACACCCTCATGTCATTATTTGTGCTGTTACATTCAAGTTTTATCTTGTACATGTGCACCCTCCCTACCCACAAATATACGTTACCAAGCTGCATGTACGTGTATATGCATTTGTTAAACTAATTTGAAATCCCCTCACAACTAATTATGGATCTTCATATTTCCCTCCCGCTGATGTGTTTACATAGAGTAACTCTCCTCAGACCCCTTCCCCTTATAAGAACAGCCAGCTAATCTGTAATTGTCTACTATTACAATGTATTCGTAATCTTTATGTTATAATCATTAATTACATTTATTGTTTGTCCAGTTACATTGTATGTTTGTCAAAATTAGTATCAGATAAGGAAATGATTGGGCTTTGTTGTATTTTTGATACTACAATATAGAAGACCAAAATCACCAAGTATCCAGTCTACATTATTTCTCAGTTTTGTTTTGCAAATATTTCTCAAATTTGATAATTTTGTACCAACAACATGTTTATTTATTTACTGTATTTATTTCACAGACTCAACGAATCTTAATCAAGGGTGGTAGAGTGGTCAATTCTGACTATTCATTTGACGCTGATGTCTACTGTGAAGATGGCATTATTCGGTAAGATATTATCACAATTTTTAGTCATTTTTGGTTTGGGGCATTTTAAAAATTAGTTATCAGCTCTATATTTGTACTTTGCAGGGTTTGAAGGCTCAAAATTCCTGACTTGATGACCTTAAAATATTTCCTTCATAATTTTAAGTACCAGTAGTCTATAAAGTAATTTTTAGATGTTGTGGCCTTGAATAAAGTGCAGTTAAACTGAGGCTTGGTTTGAAACTAACAATATCTTAGGGGTATAGCATGTCTAATTTTAGGGGTAGATGTCAATGCATCTATATGCATTATTCTTGTATCTTGATAAGACTTAAAGATCCAATTCACTTGCCCCGGGTAAGTGTGAATTGGAAGTTGGGCTATGCTAATGAGTGTTGTTAATCACTTGCATAGCCTATGACGCATCCTGTTTCAGCGGCCCAACATCACTTGACTTTGATTGACAGGAGTTAATTACTCAAGATTAGGAGCGCGTCACTTTCCCCAGTTCGTGTTTTTGACTTTTATCGCCAAAATCTCAGCTCGTACACTATTTATTGTCATAAATACTACACACAGTCACTGCTGTGATATTCATAGTTACTTTGGCGCGACATAATCGATCTGTAAGTTCGAGAAAACGCGTTTTTACCGGAGCTTGGCTGGAGCTGTTTACTACAGCGTGACATGCAAGGCCATAATCCCTATTGTTTAGGAGCGTATTTATAGTATACCTGGGCCTTTAAGTAAATTTGACTTTTGTCACTTTCCATGAAATAATCCCAGCATACAGAATCAAGACCTGTAGGGAAAAAGGGAAATTCTGTTCATTTACAGTGTTCCCACCAGACGTGAAACATATATTTCATGATTTTAGATTTTGTTTGTGCTTTTGAGGGCACTGTCTCCTATACATTGTATAAATTGAACAAAATAAAAATACTGTCTCTGTCCAACACTGCATTTACATCAGTAGTCTAAAAATATACAAAAATGGTACAAGTGTGCCCTCTAAGCCTATATGACACAGCACTGATGCACACAAATTTGCTGTGATGCAACTAGTGATGCTAATTCATTGCCGTGTCATTGACGCAACAGAAAATCATAAATTGAAAACATTTGAAAAACATTTCACAATAGATATGGAATATATAATTTTGTAAAATTAAATTCACATTTTGTAAACAAAATAAGTTTGAAAACAAAGATAAGTAGTCACAACATTTTTCTTTGTGCCTAGTAACCTATACATTCACATACAAATTATTTTTGTTCCTAAAGACCAAAGCCCCCCCCCCCCTCGCACACACCCACAACCCCAGTAGTCAACAAGTAGACTCAACTTAATTTTGGTGATTCCATTTTGACTAATTGGTACATACATGTAGCATTTTGCCATTTCTTATTAAAATGAATATCTGTTGGTTTCTCATTGCAGTCAAGTTGGTAAAGACCTGATCACTCCAGGTGGTGCTACTATCATCGAAGCCAATGGCAAACTTGTCATGCCAGGTGGCATTGATACACATACACATTTTCAAATGCCATTTATGGGAACGGTTTCTGCTGATGACTTCTATCAAGGAACTAAGGCTGCATTGGCTGGTGGTACAACCATGATAAGTAAGTACTCGATTCATCAGTACTATCAACTGATTTATTGTTACAGTAATTTATCTTCACAGAAGAAAGAAAAAGACTCTTTGGTCTAAGTTACTTATTTTCATTGACTATGCATAATAGTACATGTAAACCTGTAGAAAAAGTATTTTATTAATCCTTATCTTGTCGGCCACATGTACTTTTACATTGACTTGACTTGACTTAATCTGTGAATCTGTAAAATGTTTTATTCATATTTTGTTAGCTTCCGGGGGAAAAAAATCCTTTTTAGCTATTAAACATCTTATCTTTGCCAATTTATCTATCCTGTAATTTTACTAATTTAAAAAAGAATATCTTCTCACAAAAGAGATTGTTGACACCCATTTAAGTTTCTGTTAATGTAAATTAATTTGCTAAAATAACTGTTCAAACTATTTTACAGTATTTTCACTTTAACCAATAGAAAATGAAATTAAAAAGGAAAAATGCATGAAAGTATGCGAAATGTTGGCAAGTTGCCAAGCTTGTGTACATTGTGTCTTGCACATAGTTAAAAACGCAAAAAACATTAAAATGTGGCGACCATTATGCCATGTGTGTAAGATTTGCATTGATGGACATTGACTTTCCCACAATTCAATGCATTCTCCCAGTGACAAGCATAAACATAAGTTTCATATGAATGTGGTGTGTACTAAATAACTTCTTTGATTCCTTGAGTTAAGATTCACCTTAACTCCAATTATCTTTCTGCAGTGGATTTTGTGATTCCGCAGAAAGGAGAGTCGTTGTTGTCAGCTTACGAGAAATGGCGTTCCTGGGCCGACCCTAAAGTTTGCTGTGACTATTCTCTGCATATGGCCGTGACATGGTGGGGTGATAAAGTATCCCAAGAAATGGAAGTACTTACCAAAGACAAAGGTAACAAAATACAGGAATTTATACACGACTGTTTTTCTTGTGGGATACACCTGGCATATTCATTGCAAAAATAAGACAGTCCCTGCACAATTGGGATGTTTCTTTCACATCTCTTCTGTAAATTTAACTCTTTGTCTGTTGATCTGAATAAAAAAAATATAATAATTTGCCGTTTGAACGGGACCTGTTACTTGAATCTATTTTATGTGTAAACATAAAAAATGTCATATCTGAGGCAAGTTGAAGACGAAGAAATCTGAGGGTTATATTGCCTATGTCTGTTTTCTTCTATGCATTTGTGTACTGCTTGGAGTGATTATAAAATCATTGTATGTATATTGCTTTTACTATTTACATGTGAATACGTTTTCATTATTTTTCATCTAATAATTTGTGTTTTTACTTGTTTTAGGTGTGAATTCATTCAAAACTTTCATGGCTTATAAGGATGTTTTTATGTTGAATGATACAGAGGTTAGTCAACTATTTTGTATTGCTTTCAGTGCAAAATGTAAATAACATTTTCACTGCTTTCAGTTTTTATGATTAAATATTTTGACTGTGTTAAAAAAAAAAATTCTCAAGTGACTTTAATTCTCTTGGATCCCAATAAAAGTTCACTGACTTGCTCAAACGCCAGGACAGTCACTGTGACTTCTTAGGATCCCAGGTAAAAGTCAGTGACTCCCTAGAATCGCAGTGAAAGTCATTACCACTCCCTAGGACCCCTAGGTGAAAGTGGCTGTGTCCTAATGTGCACATATTTTATTTATCCATGGTTTCATGATTGATGTGGATCAAAATGTTTGTATATATAGACACCAAGAATTTAATGTAACCAACATATTTTCTTATTCTGAGTGCCAATGATGTCATGTTCCTGAACGACTTCAAAATAACTTTGAAATAGCTCTTCAGTCAATTGACTCAATGAATGAATTATAACGATCTCAATTTAGCTAAAGAGCCAACAGTCTCATTGTGAGAACACCTTGAAGCTGAACTATTCCTCTAAACATAGGTGTACTCATTATTTTCTTACAGTTATATCACACCTTCAATCGCTGTAAAGAGTTGCGTGCTTTGGCTCAAGTACATGCAGAGAATGGAGATCTGATTGCTGAGGTAATACATTTATTGTTTTCCTCGCTTATTAATGTGTATATCGTCAATAAATTGTCTAACAATTACTTGTATCAAGTAAAAAGTTGCTATTGTGTGTGGTCTGAAGTAATATTTTATTATTGTACTGGTACTTGTATAATGAAATTACTTTTAATTCTTTTTATAAAATGGAATACTGAAATGAATAGTAGACTCTTCAGAAGACTATTATTGAATTGTTTATATACATAAATATTTGTAATTTTCTGTCTTTATCGAGATCCTGTATTATACGTGAAATCAAACGAAAAAAACAGGACTAAGCATTGTAGTGGTGTCAAAACATGGCATAGGATTTGACAAACGTGAAAGAATTTAATTTAAATACAATGTATGTTTATGTTTAATAATGTGCTATTCTCATTTAAAAATGGAGAATTTTAAAGAGGTATTTCATATTACAATACGAAAAGATTGATATTTCGACATTGACTGTTTAAAATCAAATCATATAGCAACATAGGTTCGTTCAACATATTATACAATTTCTTATAGTTATTTAACAGAAATTCCACTTTTATCGCCACAATTCTATTTAATGACTTTCTGGTAATTCACAATAGACTTCAAAGAAAATGTTGGAGTTGGGTATCACTGGACCAGAGGGACATGAAATGTGCCGACCAGAAGAGGTAAGCTACACGTCTCAATATATTCAGTGATTGTGATCATACCCTGATTGGTTAAGAAAAGATATACATGTAATGTATTACTCCCCAAACTTGATATCTGTATGTAATTTGTCAACTTCACTGAGTGTCTTATTAGAATTATCTTTAATTATTGTTTTTCCAACAGTTAAGAATTGTTTGTGAAGGCAATCATTAGCTGATTTCTTTTTAACTAGTTGCTGTGGAGTCCAATTAAAAAAAGATGGTTTCCAAAAGCTTAATTTCAAATTTTAGTTGTCCTATAATTCAGTTACTGGCCAGAAATATGACATTTATTTCAACTTTTGAACCTCACATTTAATAAATAGATGATAACTGAAAAAATAAATACTTCTTCCCGTCATGTGCCAATAAATGACTAACCTTATTAACCGTCCAGAATATCATAGATGCTTAGTATGTAAATTACCTATTACTTCAATGAATGCTGGGTAATTAAACTATAGATATAAGTCATCAATACTAATATTGTAGATACCGTTTTTATTTCAATGTTAAACACACATACTAGGTGGAGGCAGAAGCGGTAAACAGAGCCATTTGTATCGCTAGTCAGACATCTGTACCGTTGTACGTTGTCAAGGTGATGAGTAAGAGTTCTGCCAATATCATTGCCGCTGCACGAAAGAAAGGTGACAATTAAATGTATTATAGATGTTGCACAAGCACATTGTTGAGAGAGGTAAACTGTCTTGATTTTCCCCCACTGATATGATGAAACAAACAATAAATAAATAAATAAATATGAACTGAAATTTGAAACAAATTTTCAATGTCACACTATAGACACTATACCTCACTCAATGCTTGGATCAGGCACGTTCACATTATTTAAAGTAATTGTTGTCTTTGTTTTTTTGTCTTGTCTTTCTTTTATCTGCATGTTGTACTGTACGTCTACGCCGTCTAGGTTGAAGCCGAGGCGACAAATCGTGCTATAGTAATTGCCAATCAAGTGAACTGCCCACTTTACATTGTCCATGTGATGAGTAAAAGTGCAGCCAATGTTATATCAGCAGCAAGAAAGAAAGGTACCTGCTTGATACCAATTTCAATAAACTATGGATTTTGTCGCAGTTAGTTCCTGGGTTTGTCCCATGGCATTATGGATAGATATCATCTATATACATTCCCTGGTAGTGCTATATCCATTTCAGCTAAATAGTTCTCTTGTTAGTGTCCCAATAAACTAGCTATTGCACCCCACATGTGATTCTTTTCAAATCATAAAAATAATCATTCTATTTGTCATTGTGTCCATGTCAGGTCATATTGTCTTTGGAGAACCAATTGCTGCATCTTTGGCATGTAATGGAACTCATTACTGGAATAAATGCTGGCGTCATGCTGCTGGCTATGTTTTAGGACCACCGCTTAGACCGGATACTACAACTCCTGGTTATCTCATGGATATGCTTGCCAAGTAAGTAAAAAACATTTATACACCAAATAGGTGCTTCTGTGCATTGTATATGATTTTGATCTTGGGATCTTTGTACACTTTGCATTCTAATGATGTACAAATTGCATTGTACAAAGTAGTCTGTGCTATATAGGCCATTGTACTTTGTGTGCATGCACACAACTGGTTGGCAAGAACCTATTGTTCACTCAGCAAGATAAAACAATTGCATTTTCACTGCTTCTGTTATTAAATATACATGTAGCTGTCTATGTTGTAACAGCAGATCGCATGCTAGTGTTGATCAGTGAGATACATTTGTTATGCTAGTTGACAAAAATGTAAGCAAATGATGTCACAGTGCGACAGCGTATATCTTTACTCAATCTAAGGAGGACATGCAATGCATCTTCTTCGTATCACTTTATTGTAATTGCTGAAAATCCCAGTAGGGATAACTTGTCAATATTTAGTTATTACAATAATTTGAGTACACATGGTTGTCTTACTATGTTTATCATTTACAATTTATCATTAATGTACATTTTTTTGTTTCGATACAGCGATGAGTTACAGCTGACTGGTACTGACAACTGTACTTTCAACAGTAACCAGAAAGCTATGGGTAAAGATGATTTCACTAAAATCCCTAATGGCGTAAATGGTGTTGAAGACAGAATGTCAGTTATTTGGGAGAAAGGCGTTGTAAGTATTGGAATGATTTCTTGGTTGACATGATTTATGGGGGCGAAGCTGCGTCACAGAACGTTCTATGCTGCTAATACATGCTCCACTGTACCAAGTATTTCTATGTTCTCTGCGCAGGCTGCTGTGGAACACTGATTGAGGAGCTGGTGAAAATAAGTCAGGAAAACTGCTCAAACTCAACTCCACTAAATGTAGGGGTAGTCTTGTTACACAACACAACAACAATCCCAAAGTACTTTTTCCTCGCCTTTCCTTAGCTTCTCACTATATAACTGTATTTGCTCCATCATAAGTGCATCTCCAATAATGTATGTACATGTAAAAATTATTCCTGGTTCCATTAAATGTGAAGTGAAGTAAAAATTATCTTTTTAGCTTCTTACTGTTTAAACTATTGGCATCAAGAACATATTTGTATGTGAATTGTGTTTGGAAAACTTACAAATACAAAAGAAATAAAAATAGATGTAATGTAACTAACTCCCAAGATGTTGATATTGCTACATTTGCTCTCAATTGAGCAAATACAGTACTCAGAATTTTCAATATTAAGTGTGTTTATTTAAATCACATAAAAAATTTTGACAAATGCACATCCATTAGTTACTATTAGCTCATGTAGTTATATATAAAGAAGAAATGCAGTACGCTAACCCTGGTATTTCACTGGGTTTTTTTATGCTAGCACACTGGTAAGATAGATCCGTGTCGGTATGTGGCTGTGACCAGTACAAATGCTGCCAAGATCTTCAACATCTATCCTAGGAAGGGTGTAATCCAAGTTGGTTCTGATGCTGATATTGTTGTGTGGGATCCCGATCAGACAAGGACGATATCCAAAGATACCCATCACCAAGTATGTAAATAACGTGTTTATTTCCATCGGGTATATGATGTATATGCTGATGTGTTATGTTGTTTTTAAGTATATTTTACCACATTGTATCATAATGTGTGTTTTTGGTACTATCAGGGGGATTGTCATGTTCATTGCAAATCCTGGACAATTTGTTGAAGAGTAGAATTTACTTACAAATAGCAAATACATGTACTGTAAAATCTGTATTACCCCAGTAGAAGCTGCTGTAGAATGCAACAGAGGGGATGCGGTTTCTATTAGAACATCTACACATATGAGAAATGATGAATGTTTGGTTCTCAATTATTCATACAAATGAGTGTGGCTTTTATTGGAGTTGCGACTTCTAATACAGATCTAACATTAGTAACTTTTCAAAGCAAGTCCAATAACCTATGGTCAAATTGAGTCCAGTAACAGTTAGGTCACTGATCAAAATTGATCCTCAAACACTTGGGTCACAGATAAAACTCCAAGTCCAACACTGAAAGTTATTGTATTGTGAGGTGCCTAATGCCATCAATGGATTTTTCTTTGTTTACTATCTAGGCTGTTGATTTTAACATCTTTGAAGGAATGGAATGTCATGGTGTACCAGTAGCTGTTGTCTGTCAAGGTAGACTGGTCGTAGATGAAGGTGTGGTGAGTAGGGTTTTTTTCGTTAATCCCGGTCAGAAATGTTAGTGGTTTGATAATTCTAAGTCCCTCTGATCTGTGAAACCAAGTTTTCACTGTGACAGACTTTGGTACTTTCCATCCTACTGAAATTCATCTTTCGCTTATAAATAGGCTGATTAACAGTATTCACCTATGTAATATTTCCACCTTAATAGTGAGCCGAAAAGCTGGTTTACACAAGACAATTCTTGAGGAAATGTGTTGAGCAATGCATGATGCAACAGGACACAATAACGGCAGCTGACAAATGGGTGATTAATGGTCTAAAAAAATGTATAACATTTCTCGGGTGATGTTACGGTGATTATGTCATACAAACTGAACAGTGGTATTGCCTCTACAATTGGATTGTGGTACGCGACTTATAAATAAAACTCTTTATACTGCAAATAACTGAGAGTTGTCACTGTTTCCTTTCAGATGCATGTGACTCAAGGCGCAGGTCGTTTCATTCCAAATCCAGTCAACTCGCCAACTTGTTATTCGAAAATCAAACGTAGAGATGAGGTAAGAATCTAGTGTAACTGCCCTCTATGGTAGGTATCAATAATACATTGTGAGGGCGCTATTCTCAGAGCATGGTGTATATGATGCTGATCTTTTCATACTCTGGAAAAATCTTGTTTACAAAAGTACAGGCGAACTTGACTCGTGTGGATTAAAGCAATACTTCATAATTGTTTTTTACAGCTGAATCAACCAAAAGCCGTTGAGCGTGAAGCTTACGAGGGACCAGTTTATGATCCCTCCCAGAAAATAGAAAGCCCTTCGCCATCTGACCCACTCACCCACCACGATGAGGATTTAAGTAGTCGACCAACTTCACGTCATGGTGGTCGAGATCTACATGCGTCAACTTTCAGTTTGTCTGGTAAGTAAAATCAACAGCCTCATCTTATGGCGGTTCTCAGATCCCCATTGTCATTTGCATTTTCCAGCAAGTGAAAATACATGAAGACGGGCAGAAATGTGTGCTTTAGGGTTGATTTCCTTTTATTCTTACATATTTATTTTGATAATTTCGTCATAGAAAATGCTTTTGGTTGTCATGGTTTCAGTATAAATCATTGCCCTATGAGATTGTAAGTCATCTTGGTACTGGCACTGTGAATTACGCCCCAGCTTCAAATTTCTTTAATCTTTTTCTTTCATCGTTTCTTTACTTTCATCTTTCTACTTTTCGTTGTCCCTGTATGTTTATGTGTTTCAGCTCTCGCATCCAGTCCAGTTTCCACTTACTTATCAAAACGATTTCAGATCTTTATAAGAGCCCTACTCTTAGTATCTTGGATGCATTTATGTGGTTCAACCATCATCTTATCTACTGTCCCTTCCGTCCTCGAACAAAAAATATCAAATAAAAGTTTGTGACTTTTCAGGACATCTCATTATCACAGAAGTTTAAGATACAAATTTAATGTTTAATTGGATAGATATCATTTATAATTCATATTGATGTAATGTAATGTTAAATTTTGTGATAATGTGAGAAGGTCCCTTAACTGTTATAGTTGGGTATATACGGTATTGGATAATAGTATATATGCTTTATGGTTGACTCCTAAAAGTTACACATTGTAGTATTATCCTTAGAGTACTATTTTATTTATTTTTCTATACAATTTACAATAATTTAAATAATCTACAGACCTTGATCAAAATTTTGAAGAAAAATCTGAAAAAAAATTGAAAGGTGACAAACTTTGACTTTTGCTCTAAACTGTTTTGTACTTCAGTGACAAGTTTTTCATTTTTGCTGAGGAAAATAAATGTGAAATTCTTATTTATAGTAATTTTTCCCCCCAGAAATTACCAGGATGTGTGACTTTTAGGAGTCGTGCATATTAAAGGATGATTACTTCCAGATAATGGTCTTGCCATCATTGTTGTTGTTATTACAATTGTACAAATATTGACAAAACTTACCTTTCTAACCTGATTACAGTTGCATTCATGTTTTGCAAATATGTGGAACATCAATCCCAGATCAAACTAAAATAAATACATAAAATGCATAAAAATTAAGTTTTTGCTAAAAAGTATGATATATTAATAGTAGATTTCCTGCCTTCACTTTAACATTCATTTCGTTTTGAGAGTACTGATGGTTTTCATCCTGTATGCAAACATACCTACTATCTACTGTAAAAGTACTTTATATTCACTTGGAATTAATTTTCGCTGAAGGGATGATTTAGTGAAAATAAAATCCAGTGAATATACCTTTTTTCCCATATTTTACATTTAACTTATCAAAAATCAGTGAAAATAAATTCTATACAAAACAGCAGTAAAGTTTTTTCAGCAAAAATTGGTTCCAGCTAAAATACAGTATTTAACTGACATTCAAAGGCAAATAAAGCCTTTTAACTCAGTCTATTGTGCACAAAATAGGTCTATTTAAATTTGTAGTTAATTTCTCATTCAATACTCATCCAAATCTTGAAATTGGTGTATATATATATATCAGGGGATGGTATTTGACAGATTTGCAAAGTGGGAATGCAACTTACATGTAATCCCAATTAATCCCCCCTCCCCTCTATTGGTGTGATGTTAACTTGCATGCCATCCAAGATTGTTGAAACGAGGATAAAACTATAACTTACCTGCACCTGTAGTGAGTGAATGCATGTCAATTACCACGTGTGCTTAATTCCTTTAGGTCGGCAGGTGGATGATCATGTGTGTCCACGAGCCTCACATAAGATAACCAACCCACCCGGTGGGAAATCTAGTATCATGTTTGGGAACAGTAACTAAGTGTCCATGCACTAGACATACGTATGCTAAGTAATGATTTCATTATACTCATTCAGTGTTAAGTCTGTAAGCGTGATATCTTAGTGGAAAAAACTCTATAATTATTTGTTCATTTTATTTTATGTTTACGACAGTGACTTGACAACCCTGATGGTAGGATAATTGATCGGACCCGATCAACATTTGCTTGAATCGCACACAAAAATGACACTCTTCTAGAGTTATTCTTTGACTGCAAAATGCACATCTGTACTGTATATTTCATTTGAAAAGCATTTCCTCATAAGACCAGACGTGCACGGGACGAATATAATAAAAAGTATACTCAGCTTCTGATTGGACACAGACAAAGTTGCGCTTGTACACTGTCGTAAACATTCATAAAATATTGCACAGTGATACCAATAATTGATACGCTACCGTAAAGTAACACTGTCATCATCGTAACTGCACATAAATCATTACTTAGCGACCAGTATTCATAGAGCTGGTGCGCAATCATTTGTCTGATTTCATCACCATTCAAGGCTTTCCAAAATGAAGTACAACAACATTTACTGCCCATTTGCATTTTGATAGACTGCGTAATGTGTACAGTATTGATTAAAACCAACCTAAAACAATATTAGAACAGTTGCACACAAATACATCTGCAGTTCTGATGACAATGTACCTTTAAGTTTCTGAACACATTGAAATGTTCGAAAAGTGTCACAATTATTGGTGAATTATTTTTCCGATTCTCTGACAGAATTGCTTGTAAACTGTCATAAACATTTTTATAAAACTAACTGCATGTATAAATGTAATTAAACTCTAATTTGTCACCAGTTATTTTCAGGTTACATGAGATATAACCCAACTTTTTTTCAGGAATTTCTTCAACTGACTAAAACATTTTTAGCTGGAATGAAATAGTTAATTATGCTTTTGGTTGTTAATTATTGATGTGGCTAATTAACATTAACTTCAATTATATAATCAGATTATTAATAGTTTATTGCATGGAGAGTAAAGCTGAAATTATCTGTTTTATTTTCGTAATAATTAATTTCCCCATTTATGCAGTATAACGTCATCAACCCCCATAAAGTTTGTTAACATGCTTCCCATTTTTGCATCAAATCTTCAAAGTGTTCACCCCCCTCCACCCAGCCACACACACATCCCCCACCAGACTATAATCAGTGGAGGAAAGATAATCCAACTAACATCCAGAGAGTGACAGATACCCATATATCTCATAAAGTACATCTTTGCGACAAGTGAAAACAATACAAATGTATAGACAAGTGACAGTAGATCAGACAAGAGAAATATCACATTTACTCTATTTAAAAAAGCATAAATGTACTGTATTAAAAGTGAACATGATCAAAAGTATGTATATAATATTAAAATATTAATAACAATTGCTATGGGTTTTAATGTGTGAACCAGATTCTGTAAAAGGGTTAATTATTCATAGGGTTTTAATTTTGCTTATTTTGCTGACTGGAAATTGTGCTAAATTAAAACCCAGTGATTTTGGTTTTGTCTTGCGGTAGTTTTCCAACAGAAAATCCAGTCTGCTTTTCAGTGACTTTATTATTTCCTAAGATCCTCAAAATTTTCAGCAATTGTTTTCACTATGAGCAAAACTAAAGACAATTTTTCTTGCAAATTGCAGATATTATCATATGTTAAGGATTTCTAATAAAACCATGGCGATAATACAGCTAATGACATTGCATGTAAATGTCTTTGTTTTTCAGGTTGACAGCAAAGTAACTAACTGTTGCATGTAATTAACCGCACCTTCTCATATCAATAGGTAGTGAATAATGACAATCAATCTTCCAGTACACCTCGTCACAATTCCCCCTCCTTCACTCCCTCCCTCTCCTTCCCTCTCTCCACACACAATCACAGATTAAATGTCACTCTCTATTCGTCCTTCCTCTGTTCATTTCACTTCCTTCCTATCTATGCATTTATTGAGACTGATGTAATCAATAGTTACGGCATGTACTAATGTGTTGTGTGCTACTCATGTTGTGTTATTGATTTTGAAGTGGCATGATTTACATGACTAAAATTAATCAACCTGTTTTGAATGACAAGTAATATAGCTATATTGTGGTGTGTCCTTGCAACATCATCCCATCACTGGATTTTTAACACTCTTGTCACGAGTGAAACTGAAGTACATATACCGGGGTATGTCATGGGTATTTGTGAAACCAAAAAGGAAATCCTACTAAAATTTTACTATTTTCAATTTGGACATATTTATATAAAGGCCACCTGCCTATAGTGACCACCTTTGTGCAGTTCCAGTGCAATTTACATGTAAAGTTACCTGTATATAAATACTGTCCAGTGTGACCAGTGACTGTTAATAGCATGTATGAGTCTGGATACGGTAGTATACGCACAACAGTTTAAAATGAGCCACACGAGATTTGTTTTGATTTTTGCAATATTTGAGGAACGCAAAACTAAAGGCGAAATAATCAAATGAATTAAAACTGTATGTTTAGAAAAAGAAAGAAGTCATCTTTAATTTTTTTCAAGAAACCTTGAACCCAAAACATATCTATTTTAATTGCCTTTAGTGTCTTCAAACTGACATTTCCAATTATATCAAGGCAAACAAACATGACAAGTTGTCCTTTAAACTGAGAAATTGTCATATTTTCATTTATGTATTTAAACATCGGTTGTCATATAAAGGTTACTTGTCTCTAAAGGACAATTTATAAAAATGATTACCGGTACATTCATTATTTGTTAAAATCAACAGCGCTCTCTATCTGCATTTAAGGTCCAGTCTAGGAGTGTCTCGCATCACTCGACATTAAATCATCACTCCCTTATTGAATCGTCACTGATGCCTTACACTTTATCCAGAGTGGACTCCAATGAGTGTTTCTTTTTTATCTTATAGGCAGCAGGGACTCGGAATCATCTCCTGACAGTCCTAGACATGCTCAGCGTCGCGTGCTAGCGCCCCCTGGAGGCAGATCTAGCATTCACTTTTAAACCATATTATTCTCTGTGTTGTAGTGAAATGCTCTTGTGTCTATTTAGTCTGTTTTTATGTAATAATGTTAAATTGAATGGAAAAAAAAAAAAAAAGCTTGTGCCTCATACTGTACTGTGTGTATAAATGGTTTGGTAATATTGGAAATTATTCCACTTCTAGTTAGTTAGTCAGTCAGTTACTCAGTTGGTTTGTAGATAGGCAAGTAGTGTACTGTGTTGAATTCCAAATGCAGTCGGCAAACGAGCAAGAAACTATGTGCAGCAGAGATTGTGTATTGATGGATAAAACAAATGGTTTCACAACCTCCAAGTTCATGTTCTGTAAAATGCCATATAAAATTGAATTAAAGTCATGTGGTGTCAGCGAGCAAACATGGCAAGTACATTCACGAAAAGCAGAATGGCAAAGTGGTACGTTTAATCTGAACCATTTGACAAAGAAATGTGACAAAGTTCTAACTCGACTGCAATTATGATAGGTGGTGCTTTTGTAACATGTGCAAGGTCCATTGCTTAATTTCCATGTTGCAATCTCTTGTTCTTGTTCTTGTTCGTCTTTCATTTAAGCTTATTGTTGGTAAAATGCCCACGACAAGACAGGGTTATCTAATCTCGCCAGAGATTTTTAAAATGATCAAAAAATTATTATTCATAATTGTAATATGATAAATAAGTGTTAACATTTGAGGGGGAAATTAAAAATGTAATTTTCATCAAATCATTTCATCTTTGAGGTGTTAAATAACAAGTACATTTGACCGATCATCTTTGTAAATGGACGTTAGCTTATGGTACTATGTTTGTCAAGTTAAGAAGCGTTCCTAAGGAGCTCTGAGAATTTGAACCAATTAAAAGTTCAGTTGATCTTTAGTTGGCGCACTTCAAAGTTTCCTTTTCACTTTTTTTCTCACAACACTATCATTTGGATCCATCCTGTATTATTTCAGTGGGGTGGGACTTTATCCATGAAAAAAAATTCATGCACAATTCTATGGTGTTAATGTCTCAGTATTGAGCGTAGTTAATGTTTGGGGTGATGGATCACATCAGTTTGTTGAACACAGTACCTCCATGTAAAATTTGACATTTAGTCCCTGCTACCATGTACTAAAGTATTTGACAATTTCACTGAATTTACACACAACAGTTTTTCATTGATATTTTAAGGTCAAAATGGATGAACTTTGTTCATCATGGCCATTGCATGAAATTGCACTTTATACGTCGTCCTAGGATCACATTTATAGTTAATACTGAAATATTGTTTTTTTCTAAAATACAGGTTTTGAGTTTGTTCTTTTTGTTGTACTTTTCAGGTAGTTTCACCCCAGGTGTGTTGTATTTTGACTGGGGGGAGGGGGGAGTTGTGTCTACATTTTATATGCAACAAACTTTCTATATTTTGCCCTCTTTCTGTATTTTCCTCCCATTTCATATCGTAGAACCATGTGGTGATGTAATTTTATCACAATTCCAGTGCCTTGGGCATTTTTAAAACTCTATTTAGACACATCCTGTGTCTTGTTATAATGTCAGTTTAGTTTCATTCCAGATCTTTTTAAGTACAGTCTGTGCTTCCATCATTTTTTTTTCCTTCAGTACACCAGAGTCAGTGCTATATTTAGTTCTGTGTGGTGTGCTCAGTCAACTCTGCAGTATTGTGGGTGCACACTCTGATAATGATTTTGTTTTTTTGAGGCTTGAATATGAAATAAAAGATGTAATGCGCAATGTATTTTGTGTTTCTTT